TATAAAAACGAAATATAAGAAGTAAAGCCATGCTGTTATGTTGAGCTGTAGGGAACTCAAGTCAACAATTTCTGACATTGCCAGTGAAGCGGAAGACCCAAAACTATTATGGGCTACTGGACTCTTTTAGAATATTTTGCTGAGTTTACACACCTATAATATTCAAATAATGGAACTTAACAAAAAAAGGGGATACAGATGAATGTTCATTTTGTATCTGTGTATTCAAAGTGGTTAGGATAGATATATAGTTATATTCTCTGAATAAATACAGGGATTTGTTCTAATCGTGTTTGTAAATAGGATATCATGTTCGCATCTTATACAGCAATTAACCACTATGAAGAATGTATGCAATGTGTTAATCATTGAAAATGTCCTACCAATTTGATTTGAAACTGTCTCATTGCTATTTGTTTCTTAATAAAATTATGGGGAAAAAAATAAAAATTAAAAAACCCTAAAGGACCTAGAATAATCACGCTTTTAAGAGTAGCAGTCAAATCATTCCATCCTCAATGGTTCTAGTGGCTTAGAGCAAGGCCTTGCTTCTTAGGCTACCACTAGATTGAGCCTCATCTATGAGAGCACGGTAGGGACCCTCCAAGCAAACTGCTATTTCTGATGCATCCTTCACACAATGGTAGTGACAGGTGGACTATGGCAGTCAAAGGAAGAGATTTTGAGTGTATTCTTGGTGGTGGAATTGTAGTTTTTGTTTTTTAACTTAAAGAACTGAAAGAAAAGAAAGAGAAAAAAGGACATTCTCATGTGCCAAAATAAATTTCAAAAGATTTTACTGGTGCTAAATTGATATGACTGGGAAAACCATTTAGGAAAGTATGCTTTAAAAACAGGAACCACATTCACCAGTAATCAACAAAGAAATCTATATATCCAGGATTCCAACTATAGACCTTATATTGGATGTGACTATCCAGACCTTGCTTTATATTAGAACTCTAGTTCTAAAAGATAGCTTAGTTCATGTCACAGGGGAACCCAAATCACAAAATTTGCCCAAAGGGAAAAAGAATTCAGTTAGCAAATTAAGAATACTCACCTGGAAAGGGTAAAAGTGCAGACTGTTATCTGGAGATGTAAGTGTATGTTCTGGAGGGAGAACGTGTCTCATTCTGAGCACTGGGAGGCACATTTAAGAAATCCCAAATCAAAATAGTGTCATCATGGGAGCTGCTAATGATCTGAAACTCATCAAACTGCAGCCGAAACACACGACCAGAATGTTCCTACAAAGTAGAACAGTAATAACTAAAATAAGATCTTTACAGTTCCTCACATCTCACAGTGAAAATTCAGCACAAAATGAAAACAGAGCCACTCTTCTAGGCTTCGTAAATAATTTTCCAAGGCTTACTAAGCTCTGGCCTTTAACCTAAGAATAAGTTCTTCTATTTTTTCTTCTAGATTTTTCTTTTCTTAAATTTTGAATTGTAGATTCTGGCCCATTAACATGTTAAAGAAAAATGTGAGCATCTCACAACAGGCCCTAAAATTCTAAGGTAAACAACATTTAACACCATTGTTTTTCTTTGATTGGTTGGGTTTTTTTTTTTTTTTTTTTTGTATTTTAATACAGGGTCTACAGGGTCTCACTGCATAGATCTGACTCATAGTGATTCTCCTGCTTTCAGCCTCTCAAAAGCTGGCATTACAGGCATGTGCCACCATGCCCAGTCTCAACTGACATCTCAGTGCACCCCAGGGGTGCGGCCAGCATGGCACGCCAGGGATTAAACCCAGGCTGCTGCACCTGCCTCAGCAGGTGCTTTAAGTCTGCTGAGCTATCTGGCCAGCCAAACACCATTGCTGATATACAGTATAAATTAAAACCAGAAAGCCAGGTTTGTTTTTCTAGCATGACTAAGAATATCTGTCTCAAATCATAGCCAATACCAAAGTTCACTGTGAAACATTACCATTAAAATCATGAAGAAAACCAAAATGACCCTAACCATAATTCTGCATGATCTGGTCAAAACAAGAAGTAAAGAAACAGAGACAAAGGACAAAAATCTATCACTATATTTAGATGTCTGTTTCCTCAAAAATACAATAGAATCAACTTTACTAGAAGTAATCAGCTTAGTAAAGTTGTTCAAATATCCTTAACATGTAAAAATGAAATATTTATGTAGTCTTAAACAAGAAACCATGTCATTTGCATTGACATGGGTGGATCTGGAGGACACTATACCAAGTGAAATAAGCCAGGCACAGAAAGCCAAATGTTGATCTCAGTTATGTATCAGAATCTTAAAAAGCCAGTCTCATAGAAATAGGGAATAGAAAGCTGGTTGGAGTGGGGGTGATGATGTTGATCCGATGGTATAGTTTCAGCTGGACTTTATGAATAAGGGATTCAGTTTTAATGATCTTTTACACTGCACAGGAACCTCAGTTAATAATAATGTATGTTTCAGAATCACTAAATGAACACACTTTTAATGTTCTCACCAATAATAAACAAATAAACTGGTGCAGTGATATGTATGTTCATTTGCACAGCTAACTCTTCCTATCATGTATACATAAATCAAAACATCACATTTTACCTCATAAAATATATAATGACTCTTTAACTCAACATAAAATTTAGAAATTAAAAAAAAAGCATTTCTGCCTGGCAAGTGTAAGAACCCAGGTTCGACCCCTGGCACCGCATGTGGTGACAGCCTCTGTGCAGTGCCGTGCCGGCCACCGAAACTGGGCATGGTGGCACATGCCTATACCCCAGCACTAGAAAGGCTGAGACAGGGGGATCACTATGAGTCTAATCTATACAGTGAGACCCTGTACCAAATACACTAAAAAAAAGAGAAGAAAAAGAAAAACTATTCCTATTGGTAAAGCAATAATCCACAGAGTAAATATTGAGAGCTAAGGTGGTGGTACATACATACAATCCCAGCTACTCAGGAGACTAGTCAAAAAGACTGCAAGTTCAAGACCACTCTGGACAACAGTGAGACCCTGTCCCAAAAACTAAAAAGGGTTAGAGACGCAGCTCACTGGTAGAACCTGCCTAACATGTACAAGGCAAAAAAAAAAAAAAAAGATTAGGAAAAATACTACCTTAACACATAAATGTGCTATTATTAAAAACATAACACAGTCCAGTGGTGGTAAACCTATGACACAGTAGACTGAATCATTAGAAGTTCTAAAAAGTCTGCCATCACCAACATAGTCATTGATACTCATATTAAGAACTCTCCTAAGGAAGAAAGGAAAGAAACACTGTATGCTCTATCAGAACACCAGTTCACCTACCAAAGAAGAAACCTGCACTCACATCTAAGAGCTCAGGGTAATATAATGTCAAGCATTCCCTGAATTTGGCTAACCAAACTTTAAGTCAATTTCCCTAAAGGCGCACGTGAGATCCACAGTTCTCCTGTATTACTGAGGCTGGGCTGTCTCCAAAGGGCCACCCTATGGCCCAGGCACCAGCTCCTGTTCTAATGGATTACATACCACCAACGTGCGCAAACACAATGTGCTTGCTGGGGCTCGAGGGTCAAGAGCAGCTTGCAAGTCCCAAACTTTAATTTTCCTAGGAAGAAAAATGAAACTGTGATTAGTTAAAAAGTTAACATTTTATATATTGCCAAATACATCTTTGGGCCAAAAGGAATACACTGGACTATTGATTATAAAACTAGTAGACAACAACCTTTCTTTCACTGTTGTTTGTTTTGGTTTGGTTTTTTGAGACAGAGTCATGATTTGCAGTACAGGCTAGCCTTGAACTCACTATGTAGCCAGGCTGGCCTTCACTTCATGGTAACCTTCCTGCCTCCACCTCAGGAGTGCTGGATTATAAGCATGTGCTACCACACTCAGCTCAACAAGCTTACCTTTTTACAAGTTTTGAACCAAAGAGATTTGATTTTGAAAAAGCTAAGAACCTAAACATTCTCCAAATTGCAACAATTTAAAGAATTATTATTTTAAAGGAGATAAGGAAATAACTTTAGGTTATATCTAAATGCACTTCCTGACTTGATAATCTGTATCAATAAATTCAATAATCAGGAGGCTCTGTAGAACTAAGTTGGTACCACTGACAGAAGCTAATGTTCTGTGTGAAATTCCAAGACTATCTTCCTACAAAGGAAGCAAGTTCGAAAAGTTAGTAATAAGTGTAATAGACCAACGGTCATTTTGAAAGATTTACAACTGTCATTTGCTCATTTAAAAAGTGATGAGGTGTTTCAGAGGATTTGTTCAATTGCCCAAAGGGGGAAGATAAGAAATTTGTTACTTAACATCTGGTATTTAAAGTTAAGACAAAGAACTAAAGCCAACGTTACTTCCTAAGTTTACAATGATTAAAACCTAAACTTAGAAACTAGAGAAGCTCTGCTACTGTGTGATTTGGGGCAAGATTAACTTCATTTCCTGGGGGATGTCCTCCCTTGATCAACTGGTATAGTAATACCTGCCATCCACCTTCCCACAAACTAAGTACCTAGCATGAGATCTGGAATACCCAGAGCTATTTAAAATATAGCACTCTTGGGGCCGGGGAGATGGCTCGGTGGAATAAGCGCTTCCCTGACAAGCACAACAGCCTGAGTTCAATCCCCAGTTCCATAAATAAATAAATAAATAAATAAACAAGTAAAAAATGAGAGGCCCGGGAGATGGCTCAGTGGAATAAGCGCTTGCCTGGCAAGCACAAGGGCCTGAGTTCAATCCCCAGTTCTGGGAAAAAAAAGTAAAAAATGCATTTAAATTTACCATGCTTAATTATAAGACACTATGTATTAAGCTCAAGGACATAAAAATACCCAATTATGTCAACTCAATATTTTTATGCTAAATACTGCAGAAACATAATTCAGATATTTAAGTGATTTACTGAAAAGCACATGATGTGTATGTTTATTGGAAATTTTATGCAGAAATACTGACAGCAAGATTTTTGTATTATTCCTACAGGTCTCCAGTATATGAAAAATTTTCACACCATTTTCAAATTAGACTTACACATGTAAAGTTTCTCCTCAGTGAGACTTATGTCGTGTATTTTATTTTTTCTGAGACAGGGTCTTAGTATGTAATGCAGGCTGGCCTCAAATTCACTTATGTAGTACAGACCTATTCTGTCATGTATTTGATAATGCATGTGTGTACTGATAGCATTCCCACATTGCTTACATAGTATGGTTCCTCTCCATTATGAGTTCTCGCATGTGTTGGGCAAACACTATATATGCGGAAAGCTTTCTCATATTGCTTCAATATATAAAATTAATGCTAAGTCTGAGTTCTTGCTTGTATTTTATAATAACCTTATGTACTAAAGTTTGTGTACATTACGTAAAAAATATATATAGGGCTTCTCTCCAGTGTGAATTCTTTCATATATTTTACAATAATGGTGTATACTAAAAGCTTTTCAATATTGCTTACATACATACAGAGTTTATCCACAGTGTGAGTTTTCGTACATATTTTACAATACTCGTGTTTACTAAAAGCTTTTCCATATTGTTTACATACATAAAATTTTCTCTATGTAGATTTTTTTTCTTGTATTTTACAATAATGCTGTTTACTAAAAGCTTTCCCACAATGCTTACACACTTAAGGTTTCTCCCCAGTGTGAATTCTTTCATGTATTTTACAATAACTTTGCGTACTAAAAGCTTTCCCACACTGCTTACATATGTAGGGATTCTCTTCATTGTGGTTTCTTTCATGGATCTGAGCATTATTGGGTGTGCTGGAGACTTTTATGTTTTCCTTATATACCAAGGTCTTCTCTCTAAGGTGAGTTCTTTCCCTAAGATGAGAAGATTTCCCACATTGAAAATATTCATAGGGTTTCTCTCCAGTCTTTGTCCTTGCATCCTTCTGAAAGGAGTGGAACTCACTGCAGGTTCTGCCATGCTCATTAGATTCATACGGCTTTTCTTCTGTTCCCAAATACTTATACATCTTCAGTCCAGTGTGAGCTATGGTGGGCATTTTTAGTGACAAATGCCCAGTCAGGCATTTTCTTCAAGCAAAGTCTTTAGCTGGTTTCAAACCAGCTTGTTTCATGTCCACATTAGCTTCTAGAGTCCAGAGGAATATTTCTTCATATTGATTCCAGCCTTTGTTTTGACAGCATTTCTCTATCTCTTCATTTCTGTTTAAAAACCAAAGTCATAATAAAATGTGCCTCCATATTAATGATTTCCCACAAGTTCTGGTTTGATTCTGCCTAAGACATTCTGGCAATTAACTGAGGATACCTTTGAAACAGACATTCCCAACAGTGGTATTCATTTGGGAATTTTTAAATTGGTATATTTTGCAACACAGAAGCCTTAGTTTCATTCTGTGCAATTGATAGACTTAGATATCACATATTGAGCATTTTGATACCTTTCCCCCATCATTCTCTCCCTTCTGTCCTTACCCTATTTGTCTTCCTCATCTTCAAAAAGTCAGGCTTTCTTTTTTTAAAGCACTCCTCCTGTATTTTATTCCCTAATTTATATTTTTGATTTCTCATAGAAGGGGAAGCATATGACCTTTCACATTCTGTGTCTGACTTACTTCACTTCATTTTCCTGTAGAATGAAGGCCAACCCATTTCTTTTGGCAAATGACATGAGTATCATTCATCTTTTTTTATTTTAATTGTTTAATAGATTGCAAATTGAAAATAAATTCTTTACAAACATAAGTGAATATAACAATAGAAATTGTCCAAAATAAAAATTAAGAAAGAATTTACAGATCAGTCATAATAGTTCACTGTGTCAAAACCAAGAAACTTATATTCATATAATTAAAATTCTCAAAATAGAAAGGTGGGGCCGGGGAAATGGCTCAGTGGAGTAAGCACTTCCCTGGCAAGTGCAAGAACCTGAGTTCAATCCCCAGTTCTGCAAAAAAAA